ACATGAGTGGGTGACTTTGCTGTTCTGTACAACTTCAGTGGGTACACATCACTACCTCCAAGATCAGTGTAACTTCTAGTGAATTCTGGCCTTTCCAAGGATTTGGTCAAGAAGTAATTAATGCAACTGCTTTCTTTCTTCATTAGCCCAGGATGTACAGAAATGCTAGGGTGATTTATGTATGTTCATGTAAGATAAATTAAAACCTAACGATTCAAAAATCAGGTTTTCCTCAATACAAAGACACACATACACACACACACACACACACACACACACACACACACACACACACACACGCACCCTTTCCGAGGGTGGTGCAGCTGCACCTGAATTCCTTCATGTAAGATTGTTGTTATTTGCCTCTGGAGAAGTGCAGTCATATCTGTTGGTTAGTTGGTTGATAATTGGTTGGTTTTTGCTACTGTTATTCCTTGTAAAAACTTGACCTGTGAAGGAGGCATGGTGCTACCTGCTCGAAAGTTGCCCCTCTCTGACCCCCAGGTTAGCCCCCTCTACCTGACCTTCCCACTGTCTTTTTAAGTCTTCAGCATGAGCAGCCCATCAGAATTCAATGTTGGGGCAGCAGAACTAGTGGTTTATGACCAAGCTCGGAGGTAGTTTCACAGCCAGCTGTTATTTTCAGAGAATGCTCTAAGCTTGCCAAGAACCTGGGAACTAAGGCTGCAAGGACAGAGACTTCCACTAGAGGGGAAGATGGTCTCTTTCAGTCCTGTCTGCCTGCTGGTTATTGTAAGGCCCCAAATGACTGTGAATTCTGGAGGAGGCACAGGAAAGCTAACCTTTGGAAAAGGCACCAAACTCTCTGTGGAATCAAGTAAGTGTTAAAGATTCCCAAGACTGCACCAGACTGTGCAACTGAAGTACGCTTTAGAGGAGATGGGGTACCCCCCCTCCCCGTCTTACTTCATCCACAAACTCCACAGAATTGCTTTTTTCAACTCCCGGGTGGTTCTCAGCTCAGACTGGTACTTCCCTGTGCTGGATGTAAGCCAACGCTGGGCTTCATGACTTTAGCAAGCCCCCGTTCCCTGGATGGTACTTCTCAGGAGTAAGGGTCCATCTCATTGTGGGGCACAGTGACAGATTCAGTGATGGTCTCGTGGAAGAGTTTCCTAAATGAGCCATGATCTGTGACTCTGGGTGATTAGCTTTTAGATATTAGCTTCCGTAAGGGACCATGGGAGGAGAATTGATGAGGGGGGGTCATTTCAAGAGAATGTGCTGAGGGTCTCAAACACTAGGTCCATGTTGGCAAAGGTACCTCACTGTTGGTCACACCCGGTAAGTTCTTGTGGCTAACTAATTATCCTTGCTGGAAAGAAATCCACTGGGGCCTGTTGAAACACAGCTAAATTTAATTGCTTCGTTTAGCATGCAGTTGTTAACTATGTCGGATGTGTGAGCAAGATATGAATACATGTCTCCCTGGAGGCTGGATTTGGTTATCAGGTCTATGGGCAGTTTGATGAATTATACTAATACTGCAATCAGTGTTTCTCTCGAAGGTCCACAAAGCACGTTATGGCTTTGGGGAAAAGGCAGAGATAAGAAGAAAAGCTTTGAGATAGAGACAGAAACAAACGAACAAAAAAAGGGACTCCTCTGAAGCAGCAGTGCCTAGCCAAGGAAGCGTGTCCTCAGCAGATAAGTGATGAGGGCCGGACCGGGTTTATGCCACGCCGTCTAAGCAGAACCGAAAAATAAGGCAAGTGGGCTGAGGATTGGGAGGAGGGGACCACAGACGAGAGCCTCAGTTCCTGACTTTCTCATTCCGAGCAAGTGGCCAACCATGGAACTTTCTCTAGACAGAGGACAACCCTAGCTTTATCACATCAGTGGGCTTGTTTTTCTTTGGACAGCACTCCTCTCCATCCTAGGACAATTTTCCTGGGGTATGTCATTGGCTAAGTGAACCCTGTGAGAGGGACTGAGGACCCCGGCGGCTTAGACGGCTTCCCACCTCTACAGGGTTATCTGCGATGAAGCAGTAGACTTGTGAGCTGTGAGTTGTCAGGGAAAGCATTATGGATATAGGTAAATGGAAGCAATATGCAAGATTTACAGGCTACCCACCCTTCCGGGGTTGGTAGGATTTCCGTTAATCATTTCAGGTTGCTTTGTTTTATTTATGTTAGAATTACAGAAGTAAGTACCTTCCATGCAGACACACTTTTTAACGGAAGTGGCTGCCACCTCATGTTTTTGTAATATTTCATCAATTACCTTCAGTGTGTAAAACAGCCCAACGATAGGATTCTGTGTTGACGGCACTGGTGCGTTTTGGTGAGTGGCCAAAGCACCCAGCTTAGAGTGGCTTGCACTTTCCCATGCTCTGGCCCTGGCCGTTTCCTGCTCTGAAATGGCCCTCAAAGGACACAGCCTTCTCTTCCTGTGGCAACCCATGATGGTTTCACCCTTGAAAAGTAGATTTCACTATTGTTAATAATCAAAAAGCTTTCGGAAAAAGATATCAATCAAGAAGGGACTCCAGCTAATTGCCAATACTGTTGGGATCTAAAATGAAGTATATCTATAAAATAATGTCATTGCTTTGTTTGATGGCTCATAAACTGACTCTCAGAGAGAATCCTAAGGAGAATATTTTGAAGAGCTCAAGAAACTGCTTAGATGTCTAGGACATTTGCTAAATCAGCCTCTTTACTTACTTAATGAACACACAGGATAATAGCATGAAATTGGGGGAATTTTTGCAAACTCAAACCCAACAGGAGGAACAAGGGCTTTCTATAGAGAGAGAGATATAATGCCAACTAAATTCCTTTTGGAAAAACATGACATTGACTCCTCTTAGTGAAGAAAGTGCCTATCATGCTCTAGTGCTGGATATCAGTTTTTAACAATGGCAGCCTTACCTTGGTTTATGTAGAGACATAGAACACTGTGGCTAACACAGGAGGCTACAACTATGTCTTTGGAGCAGGTACCAGACTGAAGGTTCTAACAAGTAAGTACAAGCAAGGCAGACTTGATTTTAAAATTGTTGGTGTTTACATGCAAGGGACAGGGCATGCCGAATAAATACTCATTACAAACAATGACAGAGGCTAAAATTGCTGCTATCTGAAGAGGCTCTGGGTCCCTCAACTCTGAACAGAAAGGGTTAAAAGAGCTCTGGGGAGTCACTATGATGGACTTCTCATCATTCAGTAGAAGAATGCTTATGAAGCCAGGCTAGTTGGTACAGATCTGTAACCCTAGCCCTTGGGAGGCAGGTGCAGGAGGGTCACAGGTTCAAGGCCAGCCAGGACTACATGACTAAGACTTTGTCATAAAATATAACAAATGGAAAGAAATGTCTGAGGTCTCAAGAGACTTCTAGAATAGCAATCCTGTGTTCTTCTTTCTCTTCTCTTATAACGCTATTCTCAGTCACATTTTTTTCACTTACCTTTCCTGTCCCCCCTTACATCGCTCTTCTCTGTCTAACCTGGCGCTTTGTCTGGGCACCCATAGTTTTGTCTCAGGGTTTGATCATATCCCTTGCCTCGCCTGTCACCCCCTCCGAAACCTGGGCATTTCCTGAGCTTTAATTTGATTGTCAGATATTCCCCTTGGTAAACTCTCTGCCCCAGGCACTGTTTCCCCCGAACTGTTGCATGTGCCCACACCTGTGCCCTTCGTCCATACAGCCAGCCTCCTGGCCTAATACCCAGTCAGACTTGTACAGGTTTGTAAACACTTGAGTTTCCTGTCACATAGCCAGCAAATTCAGCACAGTTGTCACCGGACCCCATTTCACAAAGAGACATGAAAAACTGTAAACCCTGTTTAAATATTAAGAAGGTCAGAGTAAGGGATCCAGTAGACAAATGAAAAGGAGGAATAAAGATGCCAGCTTCCGTAGTGAGTGTGGGGGGGGGGGGGGAAGAGGGGTTCGTGGTTGATGGTCCTTGGCTAAATTCAAGACAGAAATTTATGAGTTGCTGCATTACCTATATGCTTCTACGTTTCTTATACAGAGAGAGAGAGAGAGAGAGAGAGAGAGAGAGAGAGAGAGAGAGAGAGAGAGAGAGAGAGTCATTTCTGATCATCAGTAGTTAGGCACCTAATCCTCAAAGCGGCACATAGTTGGAAGGTAGAGGAAACCATGCTGACACTTGGCAATGAACAGTGTACTGCGGAGCTTCTGATTCGGATTCTCCTTCAAATTGTGTCAAAATGGAAAGAGGACTTTACTCTTCCTCTCTCCATGGTGGAGGGCACTTAGAGAGAATGGGAAAAATGACTTTCTTAATCATGGGAATGATTTCAGGCTAGCTGCCGAGCTGTGCTAGCTCCTGGGAAGGGATGATAGGAACGGAGGAGTCTTCCCTAGGACAAGGATTGTAGGAAGTGAAAAGCCCTTTTTCTGGTGACCATCTAAGCAGAGGATCAAGACGATCTGGGATCAGGGCAAACTCTGAGGCAGATAAGTGTGTATGACTGTACCTCCTTCTGGGTGCTGAAGAAGCAAGCCATCCTCCGAGATGTGCGAAAAGCTGGCTGTAGACTGTGGTCCCAAGCACCTGGCCCTACCCTTAGAATATGGATCAATACTCTGACCTCTCTTGCCAGGGAGGCAGTGACAGTTTCCTTCACGCCCTCTCACTGTGGTGACAGTCTTAGGTACCATGGACACAAACTGTTCGTATTTCATCCAAATGAAGTATGTGATTTTCAGAACCCTGGAGAATTATTATCTAAAATACTGAAGATGTGCTGGAATTTTGGCAGTCAGTGTTCTGGGTTTGTGTGTGAAATGCCTTCTTTAGAATATTTGGAAAGAACACCCTTCACTCATCCAATGCAGAAACAGATCTGAAATCCAAGCTGATGCTAGGATTCTGTACCAGCTTATTACTGTGACAATTATTAATATTCTCTATGTTCACAGCATCTCTACTTCCAGCAGATCTTTAGGGAGAACTTAGCTCAGTTTCTAGGAGGTTTTTGCTGAGCTGAAGATCACTGTGTGAATAATAATGCAGGCGCCAAGCTCACCTTTGGAGGGGGAACAAGGTTAATGGTCAAACCCTGTGAGTATCTCTGCTGAATCAATAAGGAGCGCTCTAATTTCAGAAAGCAGCCATAGCACTCAGTTTTACTTTTCTATTAATCTAGAGATGGTGTGGTACAAATGTGGCATAGGTATGTGTGGAGATGGGCACGTGTGTAGTTGTGTGGCGTGGGAACAAGCGCACTGGAGAAATTACATTTCTTGTCCTCTTCGTCTTAACCATTTGGAACCTAAAGACTATTCAACACAGGGAAGAGGAGCCCTGGAGTCAGGGAGTCCTAAAGCAAGGCTGTCAAGACAGCGGGGCTCCCTGCTGTGCTGGTCACAGAGCAGCTGGGCCTGGAGGTAGAAGGACAGTGTTTAATCTCAGCTGATTTTCCACCCTGCTCATACCCTGAACTAACCACAATAATAAACTGTCTTTCCCACTGCCTCCTTGGCTGAGATCCCAGCTAAGGGAGCGTGCCATCCGGGTATGGAGATTGAAAGGGATTTCCTGGTCCGCATTGGCTGCTCCATTTCTGTAAAGCTCTCTATAACTGTGTAATGTTGGTGACAACCGTAAGCTGATTTGGGGTTTGGGAACAAGCCTGGCAGTAAATCCAAGTGAGTCTTCATGTTAGCTGCTGTACAGTTTGAAAAATCCCAGAATTGCCTTCTTTTCCGTTCCTAATGTTCAAAATGTCCTCTTATAGCTAGTGTTTCTCTCCTGCCCGCTGAAGCTGGGTCCTTGCTGATTGCTTAATCAAAATAACTAGATCAAGGCATCAAGAAGGCTATGGTAGGAAGGCAGTTGGAGCAGGAGACGCTTTTTTCTAACAGGGAAGCTAGGCTGCCTCACCTCAGAAGAGCTGCCAGGGAGCACTGGACGTTGGAGAAAGTTAGAACATACATCCTCTACCTCCCTCCACGTGGGCTGCTGATAAATACTGTTTCTCACCAGCCAAGTGCTTCTGGGAATTCTCAGGACTTGGGGGTCATCTCCAAGTCAATGACCATTCTGGGAAAGCTCCCCCATCAATGGTCCCCTATAGACCTTACATTCCTGAATTCTCTGTGGCTTGGAGCCTTGTTGTGACTTGCTAGACGTAACAGGAAAGAAGCTGATTTTGCTCCAGCTCTGGCCTTTCCTGAGAAGCTGTTCTCTCTCCGGGGATGTTCAAGAGCACCTTGGGGGCCACTTCCCCTTCTGCTGTGTGTAACCAGGCTGTCATTCTCTTTATACCATTTTCTCCAATTGTCAAGTGGGGGTGGGGTGGTAACCAGCTTTCCAAGATGTCCTGAGGTTAATAGCGAACAGCGTCAAGGTGTTCTCACAGTGCCAAGCATACAGTGAGTACCCTGTTGAGTAGCTTTTCACTGGGGCTAGCTTAGACTGCTGGAGAAAAGGAAGGAAAGATTAAAAAAAAAATGAGCCCCCTTGGCAGTTTTTGTAAAGCACAGCATTGGAGTGCAACCAGTAACAACTGGAAACTCATCTTTGGGCTAGGGACAACATTACAAGTACAACCAGGTGGGTCTGAACGGTCCTGTGTGAGCCGCACTGTCGCTTAGGCTCATTGTTGACTAGTCTTCATCTTTCCTACTTCTAACTAAAAACTCTTAGTTTCGGGTCTTACTTTCCTTTTATGAAGTATAATTCTCTTCAAGTAGCCAGCAAGATCTTCTCAGCCTGTTTGGTTTCAGCTTGTGACCAAGGGAGGCAAGATTTGCAGTGAGCTGGCTCTAAAATTTCTAGCTAAGGTAGAGGGAATGTAAGTCTGATTGATTCACAGGAAAGACAGGGTTGTTTTTGTTTTGTTTTGTTTTGTTTTCTTATCATAATAGTATTCTAAAGTAAAAACCACCACCATAGCCTCCAAAATTCTTCAAGCATTGCCTGTCCTACAAGGAGAAATAGTGTGAAAATTGGCCAGCTTTCCCTTGAAAAACTAGGGGGCTTTTTGTGGTTGGGTTTTTTGTTAAAAGAACCTAATGCAACATGTTTTTAATTGAGTGGTTTTGAGTAAGTAGGGGTCCTAATATGTATAGCACGTCCCTGGCGAGCATGTAGAGGGTAATGGAGCACATTTAGTGGAGTAAGAAGGTGCTTTTAAACTGGGCAGAAATACTCTGCCAACGTCTGGACAAACAGCCTCGTCTTTGGGACTGGAACAAGACTAACCATTATTCCTCGTAAGTCCTTTACCACTTGAGAAAAAGCCCTTCATCTGTAATGGGCTCTCACAGCCCGAACGACTAATGAGCTTCTAAATGAGATTCCATGTGCTCACCTGATAAGACTCTCTGGGGAGAAGGTCACTCTTACCTCTGCAGTCCTAATGTTAGATAGGTATTCTAAGAATAAGTGGGAAACGTCAACAGCAGTGCGAAAGGGAGGGGAACGGGTGCAAATATCTAGCCAGCCTTAACGTTAAGTTTATGAAATAGAAGCCTCTTGTAAGAACCAAATCAGGGTACATTTATCAGTTGGTGTCCACACACCACCAACGTCCAGTTAATTTGATTCATGCCAGTAGCTGATCCAAATAGTTAGGCACCCCTCTCAGCAAACCTCTCCGGGCTCCCATTGCCCGAATCGACTGTCGCATTTACCTAATAATTGCCGAATCTGTTTTACTTTGTGCCGTATAGACTGGGCCTAATAAAAACAAATGCTGCTTTGCTTTTCCCACGCGGCCTCTCCTCGCGGAAAGGTTCCCTTCCGAACCGGCATCTCTTCACACAAAGAGAAGGCGTGCCGCGAGCCACGTGACTTGTGGCGGCCGCTCTTTTGCATTTATACGACTCTTTATCCACGGAGGAGATGAAAGCCCTTTATGCGACTTATTAGCTAAACAGATTGACAGCCTAATTAGGAAGAGAGAAACAGATTCTGAGTGTCTTTTTGTGGCTGCAGTTCCAAGCCACTCGAGTAGAACACTTGGTCAGACAGCTTGGTGACGTGGGAGCAAGACCGGAGGTGGTCAGCGTGTGCGGCGGGGCTTTCTCGGCAGCACTGAGAACCTGCCCAGGAGGAAAAAAAAAAATCTAAATAGGTGAGGGCAACTGACAGCCAGGGGCCGTCTCTCAGAAATCACATGTACTCACACAGCCAAGAATGGCGAGTTCGGCACCAGCTCTCAGTGTGTCTGGTGGTTTCTTAGCTCTTAGTGTGTCTACTATCTTCTTTTCACCCTGTCCGACTCCAACCCTGGTCCCTCATCTCTAACACCTGTGTAACCCTCTTTTCTTTCTCCTGTGAATTTCTGTCTACCGCGCCTAGCCACAACCACAAGCACAGAACCATTGCCTGACTCTTTCGGCAAGCCTGCTGTGTTTCTGAGCAGTTTCTTGGCTCCCTGAGTGATCCCCAAATGGCTGGGGGACCTGGGAGAGTCCTCTTTGGCGGGCCTTCAGCAGGGCCCCTACTGACATACAGGCAGTGTCATGGTTCCTAGGTGCCTGTTTGAAGACTGGGGAGGGGTCAGGACAAAGAAGAGCCTCAGGAATAAGGGCTAGCACCTCTTTCGTGACACATAGGTCCAAGCCCTCTCAGACCTAAGAAGTTTTAGCTTCCACCTTCAATTACGGGTGGCTCTGAAGAGGTTTTTGTAGTAGACCCAGCCACTGTGGGCAAACAAGCTTTGGGGGTGTGCTACAGTACGGACGCGGCACGAAAGTGATTGTTAAACCATGTAAGTGTGTCTTCTCTGATTCTATGAGTTTACAGCTACTCTCTGGTAGGATACTATTTCTGGGTCTGCAGACACAGCCAGTTTAACTATTCAAGAGGTCAAGTTTAACTACTAAAAAGGTCAAGTTCATTTTTTAAAATAACTTAGACCCGTTCCTTTTAATGCTGCCAACAGCCAAGGGGAATAGCCTGTCCAGGAACTTAATCTATGCTTATCACTGCTGTGAGGACAGTCGTGTCTTCTCTCCCATCACTAGACTTCAGAAGTCTGTGGCCTTTTCCCAAGCCTGTCTCTTTTCTGGTAGATGAAGTGGTTGTGTCTGCCGACCGTACTGTGAAAGATACACAAGATAGACATGCTCTCCTTTACTTCTCACTAAGAAAGTTTTTGTGTTAGTCGCTTTGACAACACATTTCAGCCAACGTATTCCCTGTTATTCAGATTAATAGTACCCTGACTTGAACAATCCCATCTTCCCCCACATTATTCAAAATGCATTAACCCATGGTAGTGCCATAACCCACTGCACCAGCAGCCCTCCTCACCTTCACACTCGCTCTAATAAATCAAAAGGATCACCTGTCATCAAACGTGTTTCAGAGGCAGAAAAATTGATGAGCAGAAGAGTTAAATAATTTAAGCCAAGCCAAAAAACTCAGCACTGGGCATCGAGCTTGAGATGTGCTACTCTCACAAGGTGAACCGTCTCGAGAGGTTAGTTTGTTAATTAGAAATATAATAAGCACAAGCCATGGACATTTTCAGGAGATGAAACTTAGCATTTGGAGCTTTACTGAACCCCAAATCTCTGCTCCTGGTAGCCATTTGGTACCAGAAATAGAAAGAGCAGAGGGCTGGGGGTTTTTGTAGACCTTGGTATCACTGTGTCCTCCAATACCAACAAATTCATCTTTGGATCGGGGACCAGACTACAAGTTTCACCAAGTAAGTTCTGAAATCATGGAGCAATTTGAAAGGTGGTTTCTATAAATCCCCAGCTTAACTGGTATGTTCGGCCACCCTACCTAGCACTGGGCTCTGCCAGCGCCCTCCATGCTTCTGGCTGTTGTGTCCATGGAAGTGCAGGATGTCATTTCTCCCAGATACAACCTTCTGTAAACAAATCTATTTCATCTGTATGAGAACACAATTCTTCGGAAAATGAGACACTAGAGAGCTGACTGCCTTAGGATGCCAAGAAAATGATCTATTTCTCGTTTACATTTTTATTTAGAATATCAGGGAAGGCAAAGTAAGTTCAACTTCTCTAATTTGAAAACAGTTGTGAATTCTGCTTCCCTTATATGCAGAGAGACCAAGACTGACTTTGGATGGTTAGTCA